AAAAACGTTTCATAATAGCGTTTTGGAAAGCTCTCGAAGTAAGCTACAAGAATATGCATTGAAAAATGGGGGTTTCCATTTAAGAAATTAAAGGTGACCTTCACGTGATCTTCAAACGACTATCCAAGGTCAAACCAATGACACCATCTTATGTGCCCCTCGAAGTCACAAAACTTTTGTCTAAAACATTTTTCTTTAAAATGTCGCGTTTACGAAAAAATCGGGTGAGACGAGTGATCTGGGACACCCTGTATATATGATGACGCGTCCTTTTATTCAATTTTCCGAACTACATTAGTCAGAGGATTATACTCGACCACACGATCGTGAATAATGAGGCAGAAGGCTGTGATTTTGGCCGGAACGTCGCGTTTACACTCGAATTCTAAACGCACATCCACAGTGCCGCTTTTTATCGATTCGTTTTGACGAGAACAATCGATCACTGTGATGGGGCTCAATTGTAAAAACTTATCAATGGGTAAATACACATCCGCAATTTCACGTCCGTAATAGGTTTTGCGAAATTTTGCATACATATCGTGCAACAGGGCGAATCTGTTATTTTCAAAATCTAAATTCATATCGTCATATGGATAAAATTCAGAATTCAAATATAATTTTACATTACTTAATTTGTAATCGTCGAATTTGGAAACATCCGCCGTCGGGACGCCTCTTCGGCCTGTTTGAAGGACGAAAATCACGTATCGCGGTTTTTCCAATTGCCCCGCCGCTTTCACCGCCCATGAATGTTTCGTTGAAGTTTGCAACAAAGGAAATTCATACAGATCCCATGAGCGGAAGGTCATACTTAAATACCGACCGCTTTCCAAAGTGTGCAAAAGTGATAATTTGTTCAGATCGTTCAATACCACATGCGGCATGCGCCATTGTACTTTTAATAATGTAAGTTTAGGATTTTTAGACGTTGATTGAGCAATAATACTATCAACATCGTTGCGGGCACATATCAAAACTAATTCATGATGTGCGTTTATCATTATACGTTTGTAATCTTCGCAAAAACCTAAAAACATATTCAGAGGTACACAGAAATTGAAATTGCGCAAATTATCGGTTAGACGTATCGCATTGTTGATTGAATGAACATTCCATCCGGCATTCTTCAATCTTTTGCTCCTTTCGGTTGTCATTGATGCGTAACTTTTTATCGTGCTGGTTATTCCGACATTTCTGTTTCTATCAATTTCCACGCCATCGAGTTCGTATCTAATTTCGTCGAACATAAACGCAACGCAATTATTAACTAATTCGCATCTCCATTGCTGTTCATCCCTGTCTGCGTCGATATCTTCAACAATATGTTCCTCGATGTAGAGAAAACTTTCACACGGTAATGTATATAAATCTTGTTGTTGTATAGGTATTCGTATTTCGTCACTGTAACCGAATGTGGCACTAGCGTACGGATTGTACGTGTGAGTTTCAATTTTCACAATACGATCGTCGAAGATCGGTTCATCACCGATATACAAAATATCCATCATGTTTTATTTGTTTTTCACAATGAAACCCAGCGAGCGTAGAAACGCGACGTTAGTTGTATTTAATTTGTTTCTTCCTTCTCCTTCTCCTCCTCCTCTTCCTCTCATACGTTTCTCTTTCTTATCCACTGTCTTTGAGGTTATGTTATTTATATCATTAGACTTAATGAAATGTCGTCCCTCTCTTGCCTTTACAAACAAATCGTTCGAGACAATGAGCATTCGTTGTCGTCGTATATGCAATCATACGGTAATTTTTTCACCGCGAAAATTAATCAGTTTTCCATCCTGATCTGTAATGCGCACCATGAGATCGATAATGCTTCTCGTAATCACTGATAGATAAATGATTTGTCGTGGAGCCACCGACAGTTATATAGTTTAGTATAGTTTATATCCCGGTGGGACGTGCAGTGCGAATTCGTGTATCGTATATACCGGTTTTCCGTTACTGTATGCTCCTGCGGTAATATTACACTGTATGCGAATTATATTTATATTCATAATATTTACAGGTTTGTCAGATACATACCATTTATTCCGTTCTAGTACACGCGACGAGGAAAAATTCAATAACGATCCGATATTATTCGGCTTTGTGAAATTCAATCTATAAATAGATTTTATTTCGCTTCTCATAATATTTTCATTGGCGCATAGAATAAAGAAACGATCGTTTCTTTTAACATTATCATCAATATCGTTCTTATCATCATCATCATCATCATTATCATCATCAATAATATAGTTCACATTTTCAACGATGTTATGTTTCAAGTTGTTTATTTGTTTTTTAATTTTTCGCGCAAGATACGCACCTATGGCGATTAGTTCGTACGTTCCTTCGGGAATTGTAATCTTTTTGTCGTCATGATCGAAATAAAACTTATTATTTGTAATATTTATATTCGGTATCGTATTGTATGTTTCAAAATTCGTCAGGCCCAATTTGTTTGTATTCACCGTAATTGAAATCCAATACCGGGAAGAAATGCGCCGTGAGAATACTTTCCGTTCCAATTAATGTGAGAGTTAACGACATGGTGAGCGTATAATTAGAGTGCGTTCCAATCGAGCTCTCGAAAAAAGCGTAAACACAATTGTCCGCAATTACGTTGATCGAATGTTTGATAAGAATGATGATTGTACGCAACAGTTATATTATGTCCAAGATAACGTACTATTTCGTGCGGCGGTCGAAGATTACCGAAACTGTCGAAATATATCGCTCTGTTGTCTTTTTTCGCACAGGCAACCCAACAGGCAATCCAGTGTACCGGGATTAATCGCATCATCAAGATTCACAATTGCACTCTCACATCGAC